CCCCCCGACCATCCTTCCAACACAGATGCCTTCCACAAGTTTCTTTGTGGATTTGGGCTCCTCTCAATGAGTGCAGTCCAACCCCATCTTCAAAAAAAATAAAATAAAATTCCTCAGACATTTTTTGGCTCGTCTGGTTTTGCTGGACGAACCCCCCCCGGTTCGTCTGGCCCGGTCCGTCTGGACCGGGCGTTGGCCTAACCCAGTTTTTAATTAATTAGTCCACAAACAGAAAGCAGATTTCTACCTAATGCTGTCTGTCAGATGTCAACGGTTGTACATCTTAACTAATCAAAAATAAAAATAGAATCATTTGTGGGACTGTTGGCAGAATCAAAATTTTCTCTGAACTTATCGCTCGGAATCTACCCCTCCCTCAGTTCTTCCTGATTGTCGCTTGACGTCAGCGTTCCTGAGCAATTTAGACAGCGTGCGGTCTAAAGGTGTGCACACGGCCCACCCCTGTGCCCCGAGTATATGCCGAGCTGGCCAGCCCTGCACAATGTTTACCCTCGTGTGCAGCGAGCCTTACACCGACCGATTGCCTGATCAAGAGGCGTTTAAGGACGCCCCCCGAAGTCCTCAGGAATTATTTAACGTCACAGACAGGACGACGATCACAACCAATGGAAGGCAACCCCGCCAGTGCTTTTTATAGATGCCCGGTACTCGTCTCCCCTGTAGGACTGGCCTGCCCCTCATAACCCATCTATCAGCGCAGCAGGCAGACAAAGGACAAAGCAGCAAAGCATGCATGCTCTACTCCCGGTGGGTTGGCATGGTGACCGTGACCCAGTGCTTCGTCCAGGTCCCTTCAGATAGCTCCGCCCTCTCCTTCTAGATGCTCCGAGTGAATAATGTCGACTCTCAAGGTTGAGCGCACTCGACTCCTCACATGAGAGGACTCTCAAGACAGAACACACATCATCACGGTAAGAAGTGTCGAAGAGGGTAGATAAGGTTAAGAGCAACTTACCGCAATATAGCTGCCCCCAACCACATATATTCTCACCAGATGACCTGATGCCGATTGTGATGACCAATCGCTGCTTCGGCACAACCAGCATTATCCCGCCGTTCCACCTCAGCGTCAATCGCACATCAGATAGTTCTCATCTCACTGCGAACACCCGATAATCACCACGTAGCCTTCCTGGCGATACCCCTCTTCACCTGGGTCGCCTGCTTGACTTTGCCCTCCTCACTACACACTCCCTACGGCCGCTCGCCCAGCAGACCACATGCATGTACCGCATGGGCAGAAGACAAGCGCCAGATTAGCACAACGTACCACAGCTCCGACACCAAATTGCAAGGAAAATGAGCGATAGCGGATTGCAGAAACCAAGCAGCATCATACACATGAGACCAGATAGTCGTGACCTCGAACCAAAAGCCGAATTGCAACACGAGTTTCACCAAATAAGAGCACAGCAAAAGATCACATGTGACAATGTTGGAATAGTCTCATTATCATCAACAAAGAACCAATGTCGACATCCTATTTGGCGCTCTGCGCGCAGACTACAAATGGCAGATCCTATCTAGGCTATCTACAATGCCGCTGGTGACGTCAACAGCTCCCGGAAGTACGAGCAGATCTCGGCTGCCGTTCGCCTCAAGCACCAGGTATGTCTCTCGTATCACTCACAACCTCGATCCCCAACTCACAGATGCCACATGCACCCAAGGACCACCGTGCGCCCCATCCAGCATAGCGCAGCGCAGCTCGGCTATGGCTGCCTGCTCTCCCTGCTCGCCCGTGAGCCCGTGGGCGCTGGCCAGCGTTTAGCGCAGCAGTGCTTGCGCAGCATGCAGCCAGTGCCCGAATGCCAAATACGGGGGCAGGCACGTTCCTAAACGGAAGTGGCCTGCCTGCTGCGTGTGGCCTGGCTGCGCTGGGCCCCTTCCCAGAAGCTTCCAGTAGGCCCCGAGAGGCTGAGCCCCGGTCTAAACGAATCAGGCCCAGCGCCTGTGACGGTTGCCTGTGTCCAACTGCCCGCAGCCTGTGTTCGGCCCATGTTCTGTATCTGGCCCAGGGCCTGCCTCGGTTACGTTCGAAAAAGGAAGCCAGGGCTTGGGCGCTCTCAACCAACTGGCGCTGCGCAACTGCCTGAATTTCCCCAGTTGCGGTGGCCGAAAAACAGGCCTTGTGGCCTTGGTCGAGCCTGCCTTCACTTAGGGCGGCCGACAGTGCTGCTTACAGGGCCCAAAGGGGCTCGTCGGGGCCTTATGCCTCGCATGAGGGTTTGGACAGAAACAAGACAAGCAGGGGTTAAAATACAAAAGAGTTCACCATGCTTAGCTGCAGGGCTTAGGGTTTAGACAACATTGGTAGCAGTTGTAGCTTCTCAGACCTTTCTTGCTTTGCACGTTTTATCTGACAGGATCTTATAGTAGTCCTGAGAGGAAAGGTGTAAACAGGGCAAGCTGACAGCCAATCCTCCTCGATGTTGGAGTAGTAAATGCTGATCAGGGCTCCTTCGGCCAGACGGAAGGAAGCGTGTGTGAGTTCTATGATGTAAAATTCTCCTGACTTGCCGGTGGAATAGGAACAGGACTCATGCTCCCCATAATGGAAATGGAGCCAGGGCCATAAGGACCTGTTCAAAAAAAAAAAAAAAA